GAGATTTTCCAAGACGAGAAATCCAGACTGTTTGTCCTTTTTCAAATGTTGCGCATGCGTGAAACCACCCCCCCTCCCCCACAGCTCCCTACGTAAAAACGCCTTCTCCCGCCTCCTCTTTACGCCAGAAACAGGTTTGTTTACAGCCGGTGCTGCACATGACTTGTAAACAACTAACTACAGTGTGGTTAGGCAAGACGGAGAAGTGAGGAGGGGGAGCGGGTGTGCGGACATTTCGTTCGGACGAGAAGTGAGGAGCAGGAGCGGAGCAGGGAGAGAGGAGAGGAGAGGGGAGCGGTGCGCGGAGATTTCGTGCCCGGAGAAATGAGGAGCAGGGGGAAGAGCGGTCGGGCAGCGGGGACAGGAGCAGGAAGGTGCGCGGAGATTCCGTGCGAATGAACTAGCTACAACACACAGCAGCAAGCGGACTCTTTCTTTGCCTTGAAAATTACGTTTTCAGACATAGGATATCGCTTTCGTGTCCTGAAAAACGTTTGACTAGCTCTTGGAAATAAAGTACGTTTTCATAATAAGCAGAAGTGACCTGTCCAGGAGTAATTTGGCGACCAATGTCAGTCTTTAGACCCTGCGTCTGCTTCAGTTGCGCCATCGCTGGAATGAATCTTCAAGAATCACTTAGTTAGCTTCGCTGCTTTTCCCCTTGTCTTCTTCTTTCAGCGACCTCAAAACTGACTTTCTTTTGCGGCTAACTGCTCCTGGATTCTTGTCTGCCATTGCAACAAACTTTGTGCGAACTGCGAGGAAGATATAGGTCAAAAAAAGCCGCTAAGAACTGTTGCGTTGGTGGAGTAAACAGCGTCTGTGCGTCTTGCGTCTGTGCATCTGTGGACTGCGTGACAGGCGTAGGTAAACCACGTACCGGCGGCGCGCAGGCAAGTCAGTTACGCTAGAAACGTAGGAGATTGATTGACAGCCTGTCAGCTAACAGATAACGAGGCAGTGTCGTTATCTACAAATGTTTAGCCCCACCACGTCCAGAGTTGATTAATTTTTATTCTCTTTTTTTGGTCATCATAATTACAAGGCTACTGCACCTCTATAATGCTATCATTGACAACTTGAAACAAAACAAACAAACAAAATCCTCCATACAACCTTTAAATAAAAAAGTACCCACCTACCGTCGAGCGAACGAATCCTAATGCTGCGAGGTCACACTGTTTCCACGAATTGAAACCGGCTCATGAATCAGGCTAACAACTCACTACTGCTGCTCAGACATAAATCCTTCAAATGCAAGGTTAGTTTTACTTCTAAAATTATTCTATCGACACAGACATTCACATGGACAGTCTGGTGTAATAATAGATTTGTTTGGGGTGTTTTGTGGAGTGGGTAAGACTGTTTTTAGTGGCAGGAGAACTATGACCATTGACATGCACTAGTCTAACACCAACGACCTCTGCAAATACAAGGACTGGATGGAATATTTCAAAAAGTGTCTCATCGCTCTGGCTCACTAGGAAATGACGTCCTGTGTCCAAAATTCCGAACTGTCCCTTTAAAATAATGTTTTAATTAAAGTTTAAATTTAACAATCACATTTTTTCTTTGGTTTTAGTAACAATAACACACAGTAGAGCAGCAGAGAGGGAGTGAATGTGTGTTATACTATTTTTAGTCATGCCAAAATCATCCCTGTGGTGGTTGTAAATAGTTTATTATGTGTACAGTGTAAAGTCCAGTGCAGCTCTCAGACAGACCCTGCGTGTCCGTTTATATTTTGCATGTGAATCCTTGTCTTCGGGCGTCTTTGGGTCTCATTTGCATGTTCTCCCTCATGTAAAATGGTACAGGAAATCATATAGAGTCTGCATTTCTTTTGTTTCGTACAAGCCAACTTCACGATTGTCTGTATATTTATATTTATTTGTTGTATTTTTTTTTGTAAAAGTGTATGTAAATGGCGTGTTTTTATTTAAATGTGGAGTGCTCAGGGCAGTTACAGCATGTTTTTAACTTCATCTCAACCATTTTTGTTCTCGAAGTCAACAAAAAAGGTTCTATTTTGTTAAGGCCGTAATTTTTTCATGTGTTTTTTTTTTTTCATGTCACTGTTTTAGGTCAATACGATAAAGTTACACAATAGTTTCTGAAGACAGTATAAGATTTACTATGTTACTATGTTATTGGTGGTTTTCAGATACAGATAATATACGCGCTTCTACTCACTATTGGATTTATCTAACTAAAATCCATTGTCACTATAGGTGAGTTTCAGCTGATGTCATTGTTATTAAAAGCCCGCGTTGCATGCTGGGAAATATTTTGGTTGGAGGCAAGAAACACGATAGCGGTCAAACACAGTGCGTAACCTCGCGTATTTATCCCCGATAATGGTAAATTCCTGCTGCATTATCGGATGCACAAATGGAAGCACGGAAGAAGGAAAATGTCTTTTTCATATTCTGAGTGAAAAGAACCGCTAACGGCGAATTAAACGACTTTCAAACATCCGCAGAGCAAACGTAGAAGATCCTAGCAAACCGTGGACTCCAACAAGTTCAACAACACATCGAGACTCTTGGAGGTTTTCATCTTTTCTGCTGTGAATGGCCCAGGAGTTTCCACCAAGTCATTGTGGATATCGCCGAAGTGAATATTTGTCCAGGTAGTTGGCGATTCCGACCAGAGATTTGGTTTGGTCCACCTTTTGTCAGGGTTGAAAAGGATGATTTGGCGTCCATCGATGCTTATGACCAATTTCTGGTCAAATGGTCTTGGGTCGTCTGCCGTTAGAGTGGATAAATAACCGGGATCAATACCCTTTACGTGCTTTCTCGCTCCGTCCGTCATGTTGAATTAGTGTTTCTTGCCGCCGACCAAAATAATTCCCAGCATGCAACGCGCACTTTTGTCAACAATGAAACTCACCTATATAAGTTACCGTATTTTCTGGGCTATTAGGCGCGCTCTTAAACCTCCAACCCCATCAAAAAACGACACATAGTTTATTTTGGATACATTGATGTTTTTCCGCCTTATCTCACGTTCAAAGTTTATCTTATTCATTTGATGTCTTAAAACCGCTCTAAGGTTCATATTTGTAGCCTGTATTTAGTTTTAATTTGAAAGTTTTGCATAAATTATCAATAACAAAGTGTCTTTTAGAGAGAGAGAATACATGCATCGTGTAACATAAAAATAATCGTTTGAATAATCGTGATTTCAGTATTGAGTAAAATAATCGTGATGATTATTTTGTCCGTAATTGAGCAGCCTTAGCCCATATTACACTATTTTCTGATCTGTTACAATGTTGTTTCCACATCACAAACATGGAGCTGTGTTTTGTTTCATTCACACAAGTTTAACACACAAACCCTGTATATTTAGTCCACACACCTTCACTAGAATCATTATTTGGATGATTTCAGCCCTGGAACTGTCAATCTCTTCTGAACTAAAGGCAAAAGGTACTGTAGCTGTCAACTCGAAGACTACTGCTTCATGACATTGAAAATATGTGAAAGAAACAAAACACAACTCCAGGTCTGTTTTTGATGAAGTAACAACATTATAACCTGGTTTAAAGCTCACAAGACTCAATTTTGTGTACCATATTTTCCGGGCTATAGGGCGCATTCTTAAGCCTCCAACTGCATCAAAAAACAACTGCACGCCCCACAATCCAGAGCGTGTCCCAGAGAGTGTCCCAGCACGACTTCAGTAAACTACAAAGCCACAAACACACACGGAGCAGACAGCGACCGCACAGCGAAAAACACCCACAGACACACTCATCACTCCACGCCGACGAGGAACGGAACGGAGGAACGAACCGAAAAAGCGAGTGCAATGTGCCACTTCTAGACACAACTGAACAACTGAGTCACTGCGAACACGCCGACAATCCAGTTGGCCCCAGACAGCACCCTCCCTACACGCCACAACTGAACAAAGCCCAGAGTCACCGTGAACGCCACAAACAAACAAAACCACTCACCCGTCCAACTGTTGGGTTTCATTTAAAGTCCTGTGCAGTTTATTTGTGAAAAAAGTTCGAAAATAGACCATTTAATGACAGTGCGTCTTATAATCCAGAGCGCCCTATAGTGCAGAAAATACGGTAAATATCATAGGCCTATTGATACTACAGCTGACCTCATCAACATTCCCTGGGAGTGTGATGCTAACTGTAGGCACTGCTCTGTCTGAGGCTTTGTTAGACTTTAATCTGAGCATTAGTCGAACATAATGTGAAAATGCATTCAAGCCAATTTTGTAGTATTTCTTGAGTTTTCAGATGATCTTTACACTTCATTGACTGTATTTGCCTATTGATTGATAATGATAAGTTTATTCCGACATTATTTCACAAACATATATAGTCATATTTAAAGGTGCACTGTGTAACTTTTCCGGTGGAGGGTCCGTCAAATATTTTTCTCCATGGAGATGTTATTGATTTGTCTGGAATGTTTCATAGTATGAGGTCTTAAACCTTTCTATCTGCATGGAGACCAAACCAGACCAAGTTACAGGTCAGATCTGTGGAGAGGCGACCCACTCACAGTCAGAATCCCTGTTTTTCTATTTAAAATGTTTCTGTTTTCTATTTTCTGAGCTATAAAATCACCTGTAAGTGAATAAATGTAGTGTAGTAGAGCTGTTTAATGTCACACTGTGGAACATTCCAGCCAGAGTAATGACATCTCCATGGAAATAAACTGATGAGGGAACCCCAGCTTTAAAGTTCCACAGTGCACCTTTAACATTCACAGACTGAAAGGTGTAGTCTGAAGCTTAAGTGTATTAGGCCTTCCCTTTATTCCTCTGCCATAGCATCATCTCGAAACCGGTGAAACCAGTTCTCTATGTGTGCTTTTATCACCATAGTAACTGCTGAACATTCCTCCATGCACACACAAGTGGGACACCCCCAGCGTGGTGTCACTGCAGAGTATCAGTAGGATTTGGGGTTGTTATTTGAAACTGTAATCTTTTGGTCAGTTCTGACTGTGGATCTGTTTGTGCAGAAACCTGCTCCTCCCAAGCCTGAGGTCAAACCCAAGAAAACTGCTGTCAAGGTAAAATACTCTTCACATTTCATTACATTTTACCAGTAACATCTGTGTTTTGGTGCAAATAGAAAGAAAAACTGCAGGACATTTTAATACAGCATTCATTTAGGAGATATGCACTAAGTGACTGCTAACTTGATAGATATTTTCTATGTTGCCATGTTTGTTTTTTTGTTGCTGCTGCTGAAGGTTGAATTTCTTTTGGGATCCACAAAGTATCTGTTTAGGACCAAGGTAGGGGTGGGCCAAAAATCATACTGGTAATAAAGACAAGCACATCCAATAAAAGCCGTGAAAGCAATCCAAAGACAACATTGTACAAGAAAAGAAAGAGACTGCACTGCAGTTCTCTGAAACTCCCAAATCTTGATTTTAATGACACCACAATGTGACGTTTCTTCAGTCCCAATGTTCAAAAGCTGATAACAAGTGTTGAATGAAATTTATAGTACAAAACAGTACTATTAGGAGGAGTTGGGTTCCAGAGCCCAAACTGTGCATGGAGATGAGCCTGACTATATCTAATCAGTAACACTCAACCTCCCACACAAGCTCAGGCTCATCCCCCTAGGGAGGTGACATTCCATGTCCCCAGGGCCAGTTTCCACGTCAGGAGATCCGGTCATCAAGGCCCCCGCCTTTGTCTGCCACCTAGATCTCTTCACACCAGTAACAGTACTATTATTAGCACTTTATTTGTATATAAATTGTATTTATATACAATTTATATACAAATAGTATATAAGCACTAAGTAATAACACATTTATAGTCTAATATAGTACTAATATATTTATATAATATATTTGTATATTTATATCAATTGTATATAAATTGTAAATAGTGTAAATATTTTTGGCTGTAACAAACTGATATACCACTTTAAAACAGAGTGAGCACGTGTTTGGACTACAGATTTCATTCAACAATTGCAGTCAAACTGTTTAACACTGGGACTGATCACGTGGGTCAGGTGACTACACATGGACCTATAAATAAAACAGGTGTGAAACTTAAACTTTCATGTCTGAAGAGTGGCTAGACTGCAAATTGTTATATGTCATTAAAAAAAATTAATAATAATAATAATATCACAATTTTCTTAGAGCCAGATCCTGATTTTGACATATTACCATTCATGCTGTTACTGTTTAAATCAGGTGTCCCCAACCTGGAGCTCAGGAGCTCCCAGTCGCTCTCCACTCCCTTCTTCCAAGTAGCTCGCCAAGGAACTTCTGAATCATACATATTGTGCTGAATAACTAAGATAAATGCTTATATCATTGTAAATGCAAGCTTTTAATGCCTGCATTTGTGCATTAATACATGGATAATGCTTTATGTTTTAGGCATCTAACTGTCCTGATCTAATCTAAGGCTTGCCTAGGCTCTTTACTCAATTTTTTCTAACCGCTAAAGTGTGTAACTGTGTGGCATTTTTGTTTCATAAAGGAGCTCACTGGAGGAAAAAAACTGGAGAGCCCTGATCTATATGTTGCCTTTAACTAAATCTATCTGCACGTTTCTCAGAGTTCACATCACACTGACTGGTCAAAGCCTCATGTCACTGTGAAGGCTGAGCAGCAAGAGACGTGTGTGGAGTAAAATGTGTGTTTGTGGATACAGCTGCATTAAACAGAGAATTACTAAATCAAAAAATGTCAATATCACCGCTAAAGGTTATCGTCACATGAAAAAGATCACAACTGGACTTTTAGAAACAAACTGCACATATCGACAGTATCACTTAAGTATTGGGCAATATTGGCTCGTAAAATATTGTTTCGTTAAAAATATTTGTGCTCTGTTTTTGTTCTTCAGAAGGTGGCAGAAGAAAAGGTATCAAAGGTTGCGAAGAAAGGCGGAGCTAAAGGAAAGAAAGATGATGGCTCCGCCCACAATGGTGATACGAAGAACAATGAGGTAAGAGCAGGACTGGCTGAGACTTAAAGATGCACTACGTAACTTTTCTGGTGAGATTTTGTTACAGGTGTTAGGCTTTAAAAAAAAAAAAAAAAAACTTGAAAGACATGCCTTCATACTGTGAGCAGAGTCGCCTCTCCACAGATCTGGCTTTTGGCGTTTGAAGCTGTATTCTGTAGAGATCGATCGTTATGTTTAGTTTTTTTTTTTTCACAACCGATACTGATTGTTTTAAGTCTAGAGAGCTCTGCTGATATTTTGGAGCCAATTTAGATAATTTCCCCCAAATTATCTGATTTTAGTAGCATTTAGTCATTTACTGAATTACATGAATTTAGTGAAAACTCATTCATATTCTTGTTTAACTTCAAACAGGATAAGGTCACATTTTTGTCGTCTCATCTCTTTAAACATAAGGGTTAAAATGGAGCTTTATGCATCTGTAGGGAAATGGAATAGTGAACATTTTGCTGGATCAATTATTGGTTCCATAATATCAGTTCATAAATTGATATTCTGGTCTCGCCTTTAATTAGATGTAATAAGAATATTTACAGACTGATTTTGGACTAGAACTATTCATGTGCATATGACAGAAATGTGTGCATATTTGTCTGTAGTTGAGCATAAAATAAGTATTCGTAAACTCCCGAATGAGGCCAGTCGTACATAAAATGTATTGTGTGTGTTTTATCCATCAGAATACAAATTGAAAAGTTACGACATCAAGAATTACCAATATGAATATATCACCAAATGAAAATTTACGATTACGCTTTCTTCAGTACGAACACAAATTCACAGATGCCGGACTTTTGCGCCGCATACAAACTGAAATAGGATTGAACCAGGACTAAAACAGGAATGAATTAGGACTAAACCATGTCTAAACCAGAAGTGAATCAGGACTGAGTGGCAGGACGGGCCTGGAGGTGCACCTGCGTAGACCGTTGAGTGACCGCAGACAAAAGGACCAGCGCAGAAATCCGCGCCCCATGGGGCTAAGCTCAGCCATCGCCCGATCGCACTTTGCGGATAGTTTAGTCCTGGTTTAGTCCAGATTTTTTCCTGGTTCAGTCTTGGTTCAGTCCATATGCAGTGCAAAAATCCGGCATCTCAATCGATGTTTCTTCTGCTCAATAAATAATGCTTGTGAAGTGAGGATGTATTTTTGACATTTGACTCGTGCCTGTGAATTCGTGTTCGTGCTGAAGAAAGTGTAATACTAAATTTTCATTTGGTGATTGTAATTCTTGATGTCTTAAGTTTTCAATTCGTATTCTGATGGATAAAATACACACAGTACATTTGATGTATGCCTGGACTCATTCAAGAGTTTACAAATATTTATTTTATGCATAACTACAGACAAATATGCACGGATTTCTATCTTATGCACACAAATATTTTTTAAAGGTTCTTTACTCTGTATAGATCGTCTCATGATGTTTGAACTTTAATTCCTACAAAGCTGTTCTGTAGTTATTTGAAGGTTAAATAACACTTGCATAACACGATTGAATCTCTTGTGTAATAAGTTAGCTGTGTTTAATGAAATAAACACCTGCATCGGTTAATACCGGGTATCGGCAGATATGCAAAGCTGAAGTATCGATATCGGTATCAGAACTGAAAATTAAATATTGGCTACTAGTGGAGAATAAAGTCTGACAGCTGAAATCGTAAAAACAGCAAAAATCGGTTGATCTTTAACACTCTGGAACATCTCCTTGGAGACGAGGAGGTGATTAATAGACCTGGTAAAGTTACATATTGCATCTTTAATAACAATAAAAAAAAACATGCTTCTTTCTGAAAACAAAAAGTTAATCATTTTGTTTTGCTTGTCTTATTGTTTATGAACACACAAACACACATATCTTATTTACGTACACTCACACACTCACGTACTCTCTCAACACACACACACACACACACACACATGTTGTATAGATCTATGTGTCTCGTCCGTGTGTGCGTGTGTCCTCCATTAGAACCACAGCTCCGTCTCTGATGTCAGTGCGAGGGCAGAGTGAGACAGTCCGGGTGAAGGGTATGACCACTGATAATCCTCCAGAGTGCTCCATCACTAAACTCATCGACTGTAATACTAATATTCTGTGTGCAGTGTGTGTGTGCTCTGTGTGCTGTGGTTGTGTATTTAACAAAACGGCTTCTGAAAAAGTGTAGTTAAAGCTCCAATATTACACTCATGATGTTGTTTTCTCGTCACAAACCGACCTGGAGTGGTGTTTTGTTTCATTCACATGTTTGACACACAAATCCTGCACATTTAAGACTGAAAACACTCTGATCCACCTCTGTGTTTTTAAACTCCACTGTGTTTTTAAACTCCACACACCTTCACTACAGTCATTTGGTTCAAGGTTTTTCAAATTGGGTAAATGTGAGCCTCCCCTTAGAATATACATGGTTTAGTCCTGGTTTAGTCCTGGTTTAGTCCTGGTTTTAGTCTGAATTTTAGTCCTGGTTTAGTCCTGGTTTTAGTCCTGGTTTAGTCCTGGTTTTAGTCTGATTTTAGTCCGAATTTTAGTCCTGGTTTAGTCCTGGTTTTAATTCTGGTTTAGACCTGATTTATACCTGGTTTTAATCTTGATTTAGTCCTGGTTTTAGTCCTGATTTTAATCCTGGTGTAGTTCCTGGTTTAGTCTTGAATTTAGTCCTTGTTTAGACCTGGTTTTAGTCCTGATTGTAGTTCTGGTTTAGTCCTGGTTTTAGTCCTGATTTTAGTCCTGGTTTAGACCTGGTTTAGTCCTGGTGTAGTCCTGGTTAAATCCTGGTTTAGACCTGGTTTTAGTCATAGTTGTAGTCCTGATTTTAGTCCTGGTTTTGACCTGGTTTAAACCTGGTTTTAGTCCTGATGTTAGTCTTGGTTTAGACCTGGTTTTAGTCCTGGTTTTAGTCCTGGTTTAGTTTTGGTTTAGTTCTGGTTTAGACCTGGTTTTAGTCCTAATTTTAGTCCTGGTTTAGTCTTGGTTTAGCCCTGGTTTAAACTTGTTTTTTTAGTCCTGGTTTAGACCTGGTTTAGTCCTGGTTTTAGTCCTGATTGTAGTTCTGGTTTAGTTTTTGTTTAGTCCTTTTTTAGACCAGGTTTAGTCTTGGTTTAAGTTCTGGTTTAGAGGCGTGGTCCACTTGCTGTATACAAGGCAAAAAATATGACGCTCCAAACTCTGAGTCGTCGTCAGAATGGCAACATTATTTTACATCTGATACACACACACACACACACAGTTACCAAGGGGACGAGGCCTCACCTACTGAAAACACATGATTTGTTTGATTTCAGCAGAATATCCAATCTCTCCTGAAGAAAAAAGGAGCTGTTAACTACTATCACATGACATCCCAAAGTGGAACAGAGCATTTGGACTAATAGTTATTCAAACATGAATTAATGAATCAAATCACAACTCCAGGTCTGTTTTGGAGGCGGTAACAACATTCGAACATGACTTCAATCTCACTAGAATCCATTTTGTGTAATATAGGACCTTTAAAAAAAGCTTCTTGAGTGTAAAAATCATTGTTTGTCGCAGAAGAAAGGAACCATTATACTCTGCTCTATTTCACCGCAAAAAGTAATTGGGCTTTTAAATTGAAAGAGACTGTACCTCTGTTTGCTATTCCCGTGATGGCTTGTGTCCTGAGGGTAATGAAACAGGCCGTCCCATAATATTGCCAGTAATATTGTCAATACTGTGATCGTACTGTACCCATATTGTTACAGCCACTGACGGCGCAGTAAAGTGGGCCAAGGACAACTTTAAAATCCTGTCTGCCTCTCACAGTAACACTCGGGAAGGAGATCGACTCGGTGTATTTAGAGCAAGAAACGGTCGATCCTGCGCTGTATATTTGAGCTTAAACGGCCCATATTAGGCTATTTTCTGATTTCTGAGGTTATTATGTGACCTAGAGTTGTGTTTTATTTCATTTACACATGTTTAACACACAAATCTTACACATTTAGGCTGCTCTTGAAACAGAAAAACTACCGCTTCATGACATCACAAGGTGGAACAGAGTATTTGGAGCTTTAGAGATGTAGACGGACGAATATTAAAGTGTTACTCAAACGTGTAAATGAAACAAAACACAACTCCAGCTCTATCAGATGAAGAAAAAAGATGTAGAGCGCTTCACTGGCAGTGCTGGGAAGGTGACTTTTAAAATGTATTCCCCTACAGATTACAGATTACATACCCCAAAATGTAGTTTGTATAATGTAATCCATTAAATTACTTAAAGTGAGTAATGTAAGATGAAAACTTTGGATTACTTGGTTTGCTGTAGAGAAGCAAAGACGAGGATACTTAACCGTATTAAAAATATTATTGATAGAAGAATAAGAAACACGTCTACGCAGCATGATTTAGTCCTGTTAAATCCTGTTTTAGTCCTGGTTTAGATCTAGTTTAGACCTAGTTTTAGACCCGGTTTAGTCCTGGTTTAGACCTGATTTAGACCTGGTTTAGACCTGGTTTAGATCTAGTTTAGATCTAGTTTAGACCTGGTTTTAGTCCAGGTTTAGATCTAGTTTAGATCTACTTTAGACCTGATGTTTGTCCTGATTTAGATCTAGTTTAGATCTTGTTTAGACCTGGTTTTAGCCCTGGTTTAGTCCTGGTTTAGACCTGGTTTAGATCTAGTTTAGATCTAGTTTAGATCTAGTTTAGACCTGGTTTAGATCTAGTTTAGATCTAGTTTAGACCTGGTTTAGATCTAGTTTAGATCTTGTTTAGACCTGGTTTAGATCTAGTTTAGATCTAGTTTAGACCTGGTTTAGACCTAGTTTTAGTCCTGGAATTACCGAAAAAAAAAAAAAATAATGTAAAAACAGGAATTCAGGAAAATACCGCTGTGTAATCCATTTATTTCAACAAAGTAACTGTAATCCAATTACCACTCACTGAAACAGTAACTGTAACTGAATACAGTTACTCATAATTTGTACTCTGATTACGTAACTGCAGTACATGTAATCTGTTACTCCCCAACACTGTTCACTGGGTCATAAAAAGTTTAAAAATAGCAGTCCAGGTGCTTTACGGGGGTTAAAACTGTTGTCTTCAAACAGAAAGTTCCCCTTGCTGGAAATTGTAAAAGTGGGCAAGGTACAAACCCGAGGCACTGCGGAGTGTTTGTACCTTGCCCACTTTTACATTGTCCAGTAAGAGGAACTTTCTGTTTAAAGACAACTCCAGCTATGTTCTGATTAGGGCAAGAGTGTTCAAACTTTTTTCATCAAGGGCCACATATGTAAACACAGATGAAGCAGAGGGCCGATCGAGAGCTGTAGACTGATGCTCAATACAGTGAATAATTGAAATATGTGCATGTTGAACACGTTAGAATGAGCGGTCAGTCTTTATTCACGCTAAGATCCTTAAAACCACACACTAAATATTCAACATCAGCTTTATCAAGGTAGATTTTCAAAAACCTTGCAATAAAAAGTTAATTTCTAATTGATGCAGGTCATATCCCGATACACGAGTCACGATATCGATATGATTTCGATACGTTTTAAGACATGAAACAAAAATCTCATCTAATTTTTTCTGTTAATTAGTAAAATATAATAACAATATGATGTTAACGAAACTATACATTACATACCACACATTACAGTACAACTTCTGTAAAGATGTAGTTTATATGTGAAGGGTTTTACAGCTCAGCATTTAAGAACAGACTTTCTCAGGCAGTTTTATATTTTATAATAGAACAGTTGACTCTTAATATAGAGACTTTCTTTTCTTCTCGTCCTGAGTGTGTCGCGTGTCGGTGCTGCTCTGCCTCGTCTCCAGCAGCAGCACAGACAGACAGCAGCTCCTCCCACACTCACCTGCTCTTTTTACACACACCAAGCTCTAACTCCTCTTTCTGGACACTAAATTTATGTTATATTACATAGATATGGCTCAACAGAAAGAGAAAAAGATGGCGTTTATTGCGAGTTGCGTCGCTGGTGCTTTTATGAGCACATTTGATTAAAGCTGATGAAAAGCCAAAAGTGATTCTAAAGTATTTAAAAGTGAATAGCTTTGTCATTCCTGGGTCTATCAAAGTAAAATAAAAAGTGACTGGAAGATAAAACCTTCCTCTGTTAGAATATTTCAGCTGTAAGCCTCTTTGGAGCTGTTTTCTTTCTGCATCGGGGTAGGATACAGCGATAATTGTTTTCCTTTCGGACCAAAAAAACGACAACACAGGCATGAAGGGACGTGTGTGTATCGTCTGAACATGTGTATCAAATCGTGACAACAGTATTGAACAATTTGATATTATATTGAATATTGTTGCATCCCTAGTTCTAAAAATACTGTTAGTTGATTATCCATTACTTAGTGGTTAGCAAATTTTGAAGTCATGGCTGCCCTGGGACAGACTGACAGATGTGACAGTCATAGTGTGCAAACAACCTCTTTGACCTCAAGTGGGGTAAAGCATCTTCTTCATGTTTATTCTCAGTCCTTTATGTAGTTTCCCTGCCTTTTATAAACCGCCATGTTTGCTTTTAATGTGAGTAAACATGCGTCGCTCTGATTGGTTAATCCACCTGTCAGTCACACTCTGTGAAATCAGGAGACAGGACACAGCTCCAGATCCACTCGTCTGTGTAAAGTTTTGTCAAGGCGTGTGGTTCTGGCTGCTCCGGTCAGGTTATAAGAAGAAAAAACGAACAAAGCAAAATTGAGTAAAAGTGGTCATTTATTTTGTCGTTTTTGCAGCTCTACAAAAACATCGACTTCAGCTCCATTTGGATCCAGACCAAAAGGGTTTAGGCGGAAGTAAAAATACTTCTAATCCTGTTAAACAATGACAGAAGTCCAACAAAGAAAAGCAGAGTATGAACAGCAAGTTTGAGTTGACACTTTCGTTTAGGACTTCCTGCATGTATAAGAGAAAAAAGACAAATAAAAACTAACTAAACTGAATGTATAGTTAATTCCAGATCTTTCTAAACATAATGCTTTATGCTCCTTTTTAAAGGCTTTAACAGTGTTGGACTTTTGACATGAAATATCCAAAAGTTACATTCACAAAAGTTGAGCCTGATAAGTTTTATAGTGACTAGAGCCAGGAGCTGACTGTACTACAACACAGATCAGCACTTTGACCAGATTTATTTTAGCTACTCCCCATCTGTATTAAATAATATCAGTGTTTTTATTAAACCAACAATTAGTTTTAACATTATACAAATGGGAAAGTAACATAAATGCAAAGTGCTAATAAGTTAAATAAAATATTCTCAAATAAGCAAGTAATGTTTGAAATATTATTAAAACCTTGTAAACAGTAAACAAAACTTTTCAAAAAGTAAAGCACAGCACTAACAATTCATGAACTTTTACTCAATCTTCAGATTTTTGCCCAGAAAAAAACAACTTGTCCACATTGAGTGCGTATACATGCACATCAATAACCTGGTTATGATCGGGTTTTTTGAGTATCCCGGTTTCTTGATGGTGCATGTATACGCAGTAACCCGGTTTCAGCCGGTTATGGCAGTATCCCGGTTATTAGAAACGGGTTACTGTAGCTGGTTTATTCCGATAGTAACCGGGTTATTGATGTGCATGTATACGCACTCATTGTCTGCAGTAAGTGCAGATCTGTCGGGGGGCGGGGGTTGGCGGAGATTCCGTCCTGGGGCGCGACGACTGTAGTTTTGTGAGGATTCACGTGGCTGGGAGGGATGTAGTCAAGGCGGGGGCAGTTGCTGTGAGGGTGGCCGCTCTAACTATGAAGCGCTGCGGGAAACACTGTCACCCCAATCACCGACGAGTTCCCTGGTGAATATTAAAGAGCCGAGTCTTCCATGTAGCTGCACACGTAGTGGCAGAATGTAAACATACACAAATCACTTGTGCACAGCCCTGCACCGACCCAAATGTCCTGTACCAAAACAGTTCGCCACAAATACATGTTACACCCCGAACTAGAGATGTGTAGTAAACCATTTTTAATTTTAATTGTAGAATCAGTCTGAGTGAACAAGTTCCTTTGGTTTTATTCATTACATAACATTAGTTTTGTTCAGTGTAATGCCTCAACATTGTTCTTTAAGTTTTGGTCTTTCTTCTCTTGACAGTTGTGGATAAATTGTTCATGTTAGAATGTTTATTCTTTGTGGAGTTTGTTGGTTGAAGATTTGGTGATGGGGCAGATTTATGAAGCTGCTGGAGAATACGACACACATTTACACACACATTTACACAGAAAAACATTAACCGTAACTTCCACAAACCTACACCGGGGAACTTCTGACCATTGTGAAAAAAGGTCTTTTGGCCTTTGTCATCTGAAACCCAGCACTAACCCCTCAAACAGAAACATAATCACTTTTTTTCTTATTATTTTCTTATTTAACATATCTTCAGGTTGGAGTGATGTTATTTTGCTGTGTGTTTTTAGTATAACACTGGTCCTATTTCTGTATTGTCTAACTCTTGTCTCCTTTTCTTCTTCAGGAATCTGAGGCAGCGGAGGAGGCGACCGAGGAGAAGGCGTGAAGAAACTGGACGCGGCCCACTGGACTCGTCCCCTCTGACTCCACGGCAGCAACCATCTTTTTTTACCGACGATTTTTGTACCATGTCGACTTTTTTTTAGACTCGTAATATTTTAGACAGACAACCAGCAACCCCCATGCCACTTACTTTGTCCATCGACGATAATTTGACTTCTTTTTTTTTTTTCTTCCCTTTCTCCTCAAAAACTGTATTTCCGCTCAGAAGACGAACGACAAAATGGCAACTTATTACGTTATGAATCGCTGCGAATATTCTTGACTGTTATGAATTTTGGCAGCTGTTTTTGTACCGTTTCCATCACGTTGTCTTTATTGTTTACCAGCTCCAAATTAACTGCTCAATGCCACAAATCAACACTGCACAAAAGTCCAGATTAGCTCCAATTAACTGGAATTGACTAAAAATATCTTTCTTTAGTCGTATTAGTTAAGATGCAGTCACTGCTTTTTTGACATGTTGTTTTATAAATATTTGATCAAAGCTGAATTAACAGTTAAGCAGTTTTTAAAAATCAAATGTACTTATTTAATTAGGCATATTTTAATGATCATTTTTTAAAAGTTCAGTAATCAGTTGAAAACAAGTCCCACATTTTACTACTACTACTGTTTCTAAAGAATGTATCTTTTATAAGGATGCACTGATTGCTTTCAACACCATTCGATATTCGCTTTAAGTTTCTGCCGATACCCGATATCAACCAATACCAGAGGGTCCGGTCAAGTGGTAACGGAGAGAAACGGGCAGATTTTTGACATTCAAATGTCTCTTATTCAGAAACTAGAGGGACTATTGAAATAAGTAAAGTATCAGAATGTAGGAAAGAGTTACACTCCAACAGGGTCAAGTTAAACCTGTGATATTCTTTCAAGTTGTTGACAAAAAAATAAAAAACTCATGTCGGTAACAGAGGGAATGAAATATGCAGCACGTTTTGGACAATAAATACAAACAGTGATAACTAGCGGTTCTCACTTACATATCCTTAACAAACTGGTTTGAATATTTGCTTCATATAGTTTTCTACCATATGGTACAAGATTAGGTTGAAAAACCTCTTACTTTTTGAGTCATGAAATTTTTTATTAATAAGGTCATGGTAACGGAGGGAAAATTGTACAAACAAGTAGAAGGTGCATGATTTTACATAATTTGTCAGCTTTTTTCTTCCAAATACTTTAATATTACTTCAAAATTAAAGGAAACTATTTCTATAAAATATGTCAGTCCTTCCAAGCAAATTTTTATCATTTTAAATACTTTTTTTTTTTTTTAAATCATGTACCTTCATCAACAGTTCAAAGATGGAATAACACAAGATATGATGAAATACATCCATTTATTTACATGATTTGCAGGTCTTTGAAATTTGGGAAATAATTTTTGTTCCATGTTTCATACATGGTCTGTTTAAAACATATGGAACTTTAGAACCAAAAATGGTACAGAAAAAAGGTCAACAGTTTCATAAACTAGAGTACATATGTATCTGTTCAATACATTTTTATATCAGATGCATTAACTTGAATTTTTGGCCTTGTGTTTACTTCTGCTTGACCGGGCCCCAGAACAGAGACTGAAAATATCATCCATTTCCTGTCGTGTGGTAAAACACGACCAAATAAATGTGTTTTGTGTCTGTTCTTTATCATTTAGAGGACTACGCAACAGCCTTGGAAAATACAAGTATAATACTGTGAGACATTTTGAACCAACATTGGCCTGTAATTCATCTAAAATTTGATATTCGATAGACCAAAATCCCAAAATCCAATCCCAGTATCGTATCGGTGCATCCTTAATATTTTGCGTTCATCTTTAACTAATGCAGTCAGAGGTTTTTTGGAGTGCACGTTGGCGGCTTTCTGAACAGTCATACATGCAGTACACTGAAAAAAACTGAATAAAATCTACCTTTGTTTCACATCGGCCCTTTTGTAAATGTATGCAGCAGAGTGAATGTGTGTGTCCGTCTCTCCATTTTCAATTTGTTCATTTTTGACCCCTCTCCCTGTACCTTCTCCCCTCACCCTCTCCCTGGACCCTGGATCTTCTCCCCTGGACTAGAGATAGACCGATATATGGGTTGGACGATATTTGGACTTTTTCGGCTATCGGCAATCTGCCTTATTTAGTTTTGGTCACTCTGATGCCTAAATAATACACATAAAGCTTCTATTAACACTTGAATAAAAACAGATAACTTCACAAAGTGACAGTGAATTTGTAGTAAATTTTATATAATCAAATGAAATAATAAATCAAGAATAAATCAAGTAATTGTTTTGTTAGTCTAAATCTAATCTATCTACTGATTTATCGGCCATTGGTTTCTCTGGATTCTAAATCGGTATCAGCATTGGCCATAAAAAAAAAAGAAGAAAACACATATTGGTCAATCTCTACCCTGGACCCTCTCCCCTGGATCTTCTCCCTGGTCCTTCTCCCTGGACCTTCTCTCTGGTCCTTCCCCCAGGACCCTCTCCTCTCTCCCTGGTCCTTTTCACCTGGACCTTCTTCCTTGCCTTCTTTTCCTGTACCTTCTCCCTGGTCCTTCTCCCTGGACCTTCTCCCTGGTCCTTCTCCCTGGACCTTCTCCCTGGTCCTTCTCCCTTGCCTCTTTTCCTGTACCTTCTCCCTGGTCCTTCTCCCTGGTCCTTCTCTCTGGTCTTTCTCCCTGGTCCTTCTCTCTCTGATCCTCTCTGGTCCTTCTCCCTGGTCCTTCCCTGGTCCTTCTCCCTGGTCCTTCTCCCTGGTCCTTCTCTCTGGACCTTCTCCCTGGACCTTCTCCCTGGTCCTTCTCCCTGGTCCTTCTCTCTGGTCCTTCTCCCTGGTCCTTCTCTCTGGACCTTCTCCCTGGACCTTCTCCCTGGTCCTTCTCCCTGGTCCTTCTCCCTGGACCTTCTCCCTTGCCTCTTTTCCTGTACCTTCTCTCTGGTCCTTCTCCCTGGTCCTTCTCTCTGGTCCTTCTCCCTGGTCCTTCTCCCTGGTCCTTCTCTCTGGTCCTTCTCCCTGGTCCTTCTCCCTGGTCCTTCTCTCTGGTCCTTCTCCCTGGACCTTCTCCCTGGTCCTTCTCCCTGGTCCTTCTCCCTGGACCTTCTCCCTTGCCTCTTTTCCTGTACCTTCTCTCTGGTCTTTCTCCCTGGTCCTTCTCTCTGGTCCTTCTCCCTGGACCTTCTCTTCTCCCTGTCCTTCTCCCTGGACCTTCTCTTCTCCCTGTCCTTCTCCCTGGACCTTCTCTTCTCCCTGGTCCTTCTCCCTGGACCTTCTCTTCTCTCTGGTCCTTCTCCCTGGTCCTTCTCCCTGGTCCTTCTCCCTGACCCTTCACCGAGTCTTGTCCACAGAGTAGAGTGAAATAGCAATAATGAGTGGTGCTTCTGTTCTTTGACTCTTTTGACTTTGGACCCTGTGGGCTTCTCTGAGTTTCACTCTGTTGGAACTGGACTATTTTGAAATAAAACAAAAATATCAAAATGTTCTGGTTTTGTGTCACAGAAAACTTTAATGTGGGTTACGGCGGGTTTCAAAATGTTTTCAGTATAAAGGAAAAATCTCTGAATGCAGAATCTTATCATTTCAGACTATTCACGTGTTATATTGATTTGGTTCTGTTTAGTCCTGGTCTAGTTACGAGTTTAGTCTCAGTTTACAACAACATTTAACGTGTGTGTGTGTGTGTGTGTGTGTGTGTGTGTGTGTGTGTATGCAAGATTTAAAGATGCACTGCGTAACATTTCCAGTGGAGGGTCTGTCACGTGCTTGTCTCCATGGAAATGTGATTACTTTGTCTAGATTAGAATGTTCCACAGTAAAGACTCAATCTGTCTGTCATGAGGGAGACGAGCAGGTTACAGCACTACACTACATTACAGGTCAGATCTGTGGAGAGGCGCCTCTATTCGCAAAAGGAAATCACTGTATTTTTGAGCAGCAGAAACACAAAACAGAAATAATGAATAAATGTGGAAATGTTTAAGGTCAAACCACAGAACATTTCAGGAAAAGCAATAACATCTCCATGGAAACAAGTAGGTAGAAAAGTTACACAATGCACCTTTAACTCAGTCTAACACTTTTAGACAACACTATTGATTGAGATTATAAAAGTCTTGGTCACAGTTACCACACCACAAAATCAGTATTATCAATATCAGGGATGTAACAATAACTAAAATATCGTGATATTTTATTGTCCAAAGTCTCATAATAATATCGTGAGCTGTCACAATATATCGACCCACAAGTTCATTTGATTAAATGCATAATTTTATAAAAGCAACAGCTTATGAACATTGGGAACTACATATCCCATGATTCATTTCAGCGCAGACAACATGAAGAAAGATGTTTTTTACTTGAGTTCTTGGTATTATGATGGAAATAATTCACATTAGAATCTTGTCAAGGTATTTTAAAAGCAAAAAAAGTGTCCTATCTACAATTATATGAACCTCTTCAAAATATCGCAATAAATATCGTACCGTGAGATGTATATCGTGATAATAACGTACAGAGAGATCTGGATATCGTTACATCCCATATCAATAGTCATGGTACCTGCTTCCAATGGAAATGTTCTTGCTTTGTCTGAAATGTTCCACAGTATGGCATTAAATCTATCTCCATGGAGACAAGGAAATGACTGCGCCAGGTCAAACTCACTCACCGGATGCGGCATTGTATATCAATAAAAACACCTGTAAATGAATTAATGTCACACTGTGGAACATTAAAGGCAAATTAAATGAACATATTACAATATTTTCTAATCAGTGTTATAATTCTGTTTCATTCACACATGTTTAACACATAAACAGTGTATTTAGTTTAGTTATAGACTTCTCTCAAATAAAAAACACTCTTCCACCTTGTGATGTCATGTGGTGATACTGTGATAGAAATTTAGATTGTGGAATGATTTCTCTCAATCTGTCTTGTGTAAATGAATGTGATTTCTACCTGAAACCCAGACCAGTCATTAACATGTGTAAAGGTTCATCAGGCACAACTGTCTCCGCCTTCAGGAAGCCCTTTGTTATCATCAACTGTATGTTAATTTAGTACCAGCCTCTGAAACCAAAGTCACTCTGCTTTGATATGTATGTAACTTGTATTTCTGTATAAATACTCAGAGCTCAAATGCTCTAGAGAGGGAGATGGGAAGGGACATGGGGGAGACACGGTGAGAGGCTGTTGGGCTTTGGCCAGGGCAGGCCTAGGCCCGGTCCATATCTGCTGTAACAAAAATAAACCTTGGTCTATATTCCAAAAACTCATCGGGCTTCGCAAATGGATTCATTATTTATCTTCAAGAGATACATATAATTTTTGCCACAACAATACAGGAAGTGCTCCACTGTGTTTTTAAGCTCCACACACCTTCACTAGAATCATTTGGATCATTTCAGCTCTGGAATTGCCAATCTGTACTGAACTAAAGGTAAAAGGAGCTGTTCACTTGAAAACTACCACTTCATGACATCACAAGGTGGAGATGCAAACAGATTAATAATGCAGGATTATTCAAACATGTGTGAATGAAACAAAACACAACTCCAGGTCTGTTTTTGAGGAGGTAACAACATTATAACCCGGCTTAAAGCTCAAACAAGTCACTTTTGCATAAGACCTTTAATAACATCTCCATGGAGACAAGCAGGTGGCACACTCTTCACCAGAAAAGTGACATAATGCTCCTTTAATTAAACATTTCACACACTATTTTTTCTAAAGTTGTGACGTCATTCTAGTCCTAAAGCAGTTGTGTAAGCCGGTGTACGCTCGTGTTTAGCCAGAGCGTTGTTGTAAACTGCGGCACAAAAGGCAGGTCTGTGCGGGAGGGCATCAGGGGCACGTAGACGCGTTAAAAACAACTGCAGCGTCAGGAAGTGAAAGCTCAGCGTTTGACGAGCGCGGCTGAACTGATGGAGCTGGAGTACAGTCCCCATCACTAATAAAGGCACCTGTGACAAAGAGCAAAGGAGGCAAAAGGAACCAGGCCTTTTTGTTTTACATTTAGGACACTAAATATATGATTCCATTTCCTGATCTCTGTTATAATATTGTTTCCTCATCACACACAGACTTAGAGTTGTGTTTTGTTTCATTCACACATGTTTAAACAGACAAACCGTGCACATTTAGGCTGAGTTCATCATAAATGCTTGTGATGTCATGAGGTCATACATGTCTACAATAAATGTCAGATTTTTGGGTATTGTATAAACAGTGTTGGGAAGGTGATTTTTAAAATGTATTCTCCTACAGATTACAGATTACACACCCCAGAATGTAGTTTGTAACATAATCCATTAAATTACTTAAAGCGAGTAACGTAATCTGAATACTTTGGATTACTTGATTTGTTGTAGAGAAGCAAAGACTCGCAAATTGTAACATAAGATGTTTTGTCTGATAAAAGAAAATAAAAAGCCCAAACTTTTCTGAACCGTATTAAAAATATTATTAATAGAAGATGAGGAGACATGGTCCATGCAGCATTTAGTCCTGTTAAATCCTGTTTTAGCCCTGTTTTAGTCCTGTTTTAGTCCTGGTTTAGACCTGGTTTTAGACCTGGTTTTAATCCTGGTTTAGACCTGGTTTAGTCTTGGTTTAGTCCTGGTTTAGACCTGGTTTAGTCCTGGTTTTAGACCTGGTTTAGTCCTGGTTTTAGACCTGGTTTTAGTCCTGGTTTAGACCTGGTTTAGTCCTGGTTTTGGTTTAGTCCTGGTTTAGACCTGGTTTAGTCCTGGTTTTAGACCTGGTTTTAGTCCTGGTTTTAGTCCTGGTTTAGTCTGGGTTTAAACCTGGTTTAGACCTGGTTTAGATCTAGACTAGTTTAGATCTAGTTTAGACCTGGGGATTTAGCCCAAAATGTGAAAACAGGAAAATACCACCGTGTAATCCATTTATTTCAACAAAGTAAATGTAATCCAATTACCACTCACTGTAACTGTAATCAGTACACTGTACTCTGAATACAGTTACTGTACTCTGATTACGTAACTCTGGTTCATGTAATCTGTTACTCCCCAACACTGAGTATAAATGTTTTACTTCACAACCCAAGTCAATAGACATTAATAAATCACAAAATAAAGGTGGATTTGAGGATTATTGAACATTAATGAGGATATTTTCTTGTTGACTGAGGGATCGTGTCTCTGAACTATTAATATTACTCAAGTTTAAAACTATGAAAAACAGTCACTGAAGCAGAAATAAAAGGATCCAGAAGTTGCCTGTTTGGACATTAAACGTAGATTTTTTTTTTTCTTTCTTTTCAAATATTCAATTGAATCAGACATATTGGAACAAAATAGTCAATAAAATAATTACAAAAAGATTAGAAATTATACAAAACATGTTTTAACATTTCAACATTTCTAGTGAGATAGTTTGGTCTGTGTGTGTTTTTGTATTGTTCCAGTCCGAGTGCAGGAGGAGACGCAGCAGCAGATCGGGCGCAAGGCAGAAATGTATATCACAGACCTACATGCAGATCATGACAAGGTGACCCAAAAAAAATAAAAATCTCTTGTGACCCAGTCCCAGTCTTTAGGAAACAGTGGTCTACATCACAAGTTTTAAATGCTCTAGTTCACCTCTCGGGCTGAAATGATTCACGTGATTCTGGTGAAGGTGTGTGGCATTTAAAAACACAGTGGAGCACTTCCTGTATTACCACATGATGACATCACAAGGTGGAACAATGATTTCCGTTTGAGAGAAGAACTCAGCCTAAATGTGCAGGATTTGTGTGTTAAACATGTGAATGAAACAAAACACAACTCCAGGTCTGTTTGTGATGAGGAAACAACATTAGAACACAAAGTAAATCAGAAAATAGCGAAATATAGAGCAGACCTGGGCATTGTCCAGCTCCGGGGCCACATACGTCCCTCTGGTCAACTTGGCCCGTTTAAGCTCATTTGGAATTATCATCATCATCATCATCTTTATTCCTGACTCATGGTTCATTTAAAAAAACAGACAAGGACAGCCATACCAGTGTCTCCACATGTTGGACTGATACCTTATTGCACTGAATCTCAAATTTGTGAGTGACATTATAATTTCATTGTCTGATTTGTTCAGTCTGCAGATAAAACTGTACATTAAACTTCTTAGTGCAGCTTGCAAAGTGTTCACTCGAGCAGTAACAAACATTTCAGTCGCACTCGTCCATCGTGGCCTCCTCAAAAAGCACATCAAAAGCAAAATAAACATATTTAATAATTCTACTTCATGCGTGGACTAAAGTTGCATCGTTTTTATTTTAAAGGTGTTTCTAAATGACATTTTAGTCTGAGCAGCTCACTAAAACAATGATATTTATGCTTTTTTTTTTTTTTAAATAAAGAAATACAATTAATATTATGCAGAACTGAGGTAAGCATTTTGGCCTTCACAGTATTTTCTGTTTCTCATGTGGCTCCATTATTTTTTATTTTTATTATGTCAATACTTGTTTTTCTGAATGACTTTATTGAGAGGAGAATAATCATCATCATCTTCATCCTTTAAAATCTCCATGGCCTGAGTGTTCAAACAAACTGTTGTGCTCATTTGAATAGGCCTTTTCAACTATTTGCCTTTTACATTCAGGACGTTGTTGGAGGGAGCAGCGTGAGGTCGCCTCCTTGTGGTGAACGTCACAACCACATCTGCTTCTGATCTTTATCTGACATCATTATCAGCCCGGCCGTTGTGAATGTGTCCTTGAGCAAGACACTTCACCTTGTCAGTTTGAATAATTACAAGAGATAGATGGAGGAGTAGAAGCCAAGTATTAAATGACACAGAATATTCTTTGTTTATGTTACAGCCAAAAGATTTTCATATTTTGCAAAAAGTGTAAAAGCAAATAACGAATACAGCTGTGTGATGTGTAAACATATCTTAACTAAATTGTAATTACTAGTTAATTAATTGTGAACAAAGTATAGTGATCGTGGCAATAGGGTTTTTTGTAGCAGTATTGTCAAACCTTTTAAGAACAGTGTGTACTTTGTTGAAACGATTTAATATGTAACAAATTATAACGCCTTTGCGGAAAAAAGATTTTGGACAACTTTGTACTTTGAACTGGGGACATGAGGCCTACAGGTGTGTTTAGCAAAAATGAAACAGGTTTTGCTCATAACATCAAGATAACGTACTTTCTCTAATCCTTTTACGCACGGGACGCAGCACTTAAATCTAATTCCGAACGACCTTTATGTACACTGTTTACACTTTAAATATCTTTGCTTCCCTCGTGGGCCAGAGTGCACACAGGATGCTTGGTGTCACTTCTTTGATAATGTCTGTGATAGCGTGTATCTACGCCCGATCTCCGTTATATTCCTGTAACTCACGAGGTTTCATTCATTAGGCCGCATTCCCCTCTGTCCCGAGCCCTTCCCCCATTTTACTGCCTGCCTGCCTGCCACTATTTGGAAGAGAGAAATGGACGACTTCCCCACCAAACGGCTTCCAGAGAAAGTGGGTGTGTTTGCCTGACGTCTTGTTACACAATAACGACACCGTTGTAGCGACCGTAGCCAAGAAGGACGCGCAAAACGGGGCACATATGTTATTTTCTGGGACTAAAAACGCGCAGAGGTTCGTCGTAGCCAATCCTTCTGCAAAGCGAATCTTGTTTTGACTCCGAACATAAAATAAAGAATTATTTTTGCGCAGTGGCCGAGCGAGTTTATCAATCTCTGCGCACGAAAAGCGAAAAATATCGGGTTTTAACGCCTGTTTCTGATGGAAAAACACATTCTTGCAATAAAGTTTTAGTAATTCTGCAGCAGTGTGTCCTCTTCCAGTAAGCTGCCATTTCTACCTCCCTCCCCGAGTGGACTTGTATTCGTAGTCCTCCGCAGAGGGCTTGCGTTTTAGAGGGGGAGGGGATTAACGCAAACGCGGTTCCAAAGCTATCCAACCCGCATAGAAAAACGCAACACTCGCCATCACGGTAAATTAGCTCAAAAAGTGTTCGTTATTCGCGTGGTTAAAGCGGGTAAATCTTCCTCGAGGACGCGCACTAGTTGTCGTAGCGCGGAGGAGGACGTGGTTACGCAGGCGGGGCTTTACGCGAGCGCTGGGTGAATGGAGGCGCCTCTTCCTGGTGGAGAAACAGTGACAGCTACAGGGCAGCCACACAGACCCAGCACCCAGGCTCCGCTGCCCTGCCAAAACACCCCAAAATGGCTTCGGATAGCACGCACATCGCGCAGTTGACTTCGGGTAAGTAAATACACGTCTGGAAATGCGTCACGTTTGTTTAAATCCCCCCCTGTTTTCTCCGCGTCCGCTTCTAACGCAGCTCCCGTGCTCCTCTCCCCCTTCTCTTCACCAGAACTGTACTTCCTAATCGCCCGTTTTTTAGAGGCAGGACCGTGTCAAGATTCGGCACAGGTTTGTTTTTTGGTATTATAAGACATTAATAAACACATCCGAACAATTCACGAGGTCTGATTTTGCCTTTTTATGCTATTTTCAGAGCCTGATACGGGAGGTGGAGGAGAAGGAGGTAAGCACTCAGCAGCACTATGATGCTTCCCTGTGCACTGTATTCCAGTTACTACGCTTTAAATCTCCTATTACTGTTTCTAAATAACACTTTTGGCATTTATGGGCTTGATCATGACAACACACATTATTTTTTCCATTCAGCTGCTGCCCAGAAGAGTAGATTGGACGGGGCAAGAACACCCTGGGACATACGAGAATTTGGTAAGCCTGCACTATAACTGAGGAAAAAGTTTGTACAGAGCAAAATAAGAATTGAATTTCCCGCAATTTTTAAATCAGGTGGCAAAGTTAAAAGGTTGTAAGGGTTCGTGGGGGGCTTTGGCTGCTACTTAGTGAAGGTTTGGGGCACCAAGGGGTTGTGTGCCACCCTTCTGTGCACTTTGGGTACATTTTAGACCATGCACGTCCTGATGGTTTTAATAGTTGATGGTAAAATGTGAGAGAAAAGTTGATACGTCATGAGTGTTGTGGTGTAGCAGCGCGAGGATCCGGAGGAGGGACTCCCTGCGCCACAAGGCTGAGAATGGAGGCGCTCTTGTCCTGCCATAATATGAGTGCATGAAAACACAGGGGGCAAAGAGTTACAAAACAGGACTTTTGGGAAGAAATATAAACATTAAATCGACTAAAGGAGCTCTGGCAGATTCCTGGTTGTGCTACGGTCGCTGCTAGGTTTTTGGTTGTTTTTTTGTCGGACTGCTTCCCACTTTGCTCGCATCTCAACACGGATTCCTACTTTTTGGAAAGATGAGAGGTAACACTATGCTCATATCTGATTATCGCTACATTAATTGACATGCTAATTGTGATGTAAACAAACGGGCTCGTCTCTAAGCGTCTTTTACGCATGGGGGCGTGGAAGGAATTCATCATGGCTTTCTCTTTCGTGTTTTCGAGTATTCTATTCAATCGCTCTGCATCCCAAATGTTGAACTATTATTATTATTTTTAAACGAAGCAATTATTTAATGAATAATAAATAAATACTAAAACACCAAGCAGGAAGAGCCCGGTTTTTGGCACAGGGCTGTTTTACGCACAGATCGTGACAGTTGCATCGAGCTTGATATGAAGCATGCTTTGACCGCGTAGTAAAAGTACACGTTTAAGATATTATTGACAGAGGCGGGCGGTGTGTGTGTGTATTTTTTCTCTCTCTTTCTGCGTGGCTGTAGCACGCCGCGCCTCCTCCTCCTCCCAGCTCATGTCGTTCAGACTGCATGCTATCTTTTGTGCATGAAATTCGCGTATTTAAAAACACCACGGATGGCTGTATTTTTAATTACTCCAGACGAATTCAGACACATCCTCCTGACCGCTGGCTGCATTTAGCTGCATTCTTTTAAGTCTGTGTTTTTTAGAGACAAGGCTTTGGACTGCAGTGGGATCTACGTTGCTTCCTCTAATCATTTTGTGATACTTAATTGTATTAATTGCGATTAGTTAATTAAGACGCGTAATTACGCACGTTGTTTTTTGCTTCATAAACACAGAAGCATTTAACCATTAACATCACATTACATTTTTCAACAGAAATCAAACTGAAATCTTTGTGTTTACACCAAATTTTTATATAGTTTGGATTTTTTTCAGAATACAGCAACTCTAAAAACATCATATGGTCAAGTCCAGATTTCTGGGCCTTTTTACAGCTGTGTTTCAAATCTAATATTTTGTAACGTGTCCGTTCCACTAATACAAATCAGTTGGAGGGTTGTCGTTGGTTAAGGCTCTGACTCAAATGGTGTGTTATCCATTACACTCACAGCGTTGCAAATTGAAGCCAGTTGTTATTACGCATGACTTTGTTTTTCACACAGCGCTGTTCGCCCCTGATAAACCGCCTTATAGGAACACTGATCACGTCTCGGATCCAGTGGTGTTGAAAGCAATTAATGCTTCGTTAATTGTGTACGTGCGCGCGCGTGGGTAAGTGACAGGTAAAGACACAGAGGCTGCGCGCGTGTGTGAGTGTGTGTGTGTGTGTGTGAGTGTGTGTGCGTCTACGTCCTCTCGTTTCGGGCATATTTGAACGTGTTGAGACGTTTAATAACCTGGAGATGATACTAAGCAGATTCCCCCTCAAAGCGCGCGTCCCAAAATACTCTTACGCATTTTCATTTGTCAGCTGGCGGTGCGTGTCTGTTCGCGATGCTCCACTTCTCTTTATTTATTTATTTGTTGGTTTGGTGTGTTGAAGTAGGCCAGCGCTCGCGTGTTGGCTCTGGCGGAGTGTCAGCGGACCGGGCGACATGCGGTTCGCTCGGAGCAGCGTGGGTTTTTGGTGCGTCGCTGCCACGCCCCCCTCCGCAGCTCCTCTGTCTGATCCACATGAACGTGACAGGCTCTTTGTCGCGTTTGGCCCGTTTTCTCTCCAAGATGTAATTTGTCAACTATAATAGGGAGGTTTAGGAGAGGATGTTTGATGCGGATTTTGTCTATAACGGTGTAATTAGTGCTGAGAGGTAATCAGAGAACGTGCTTTATTCTAGGGCTAATTATGTCAAATGAGAACAGATCATATAGAGAAATACCAGAAAATGTCAGTCTAGACACATTCTGTTCTTTATGGTGAAAGAACTAATTTCTACAATCTTAATTAAAAAGTGGATTAGTGTGAATAGTGTTTGTACTTAGGTCTATAGGTTAAGTGTAGAGGTTAAGTGATTCATTGAGTTGATTAATTTAATTGTGAATATTAAAAATAATATACCAAACGAATATTTCTGTACACACAATTAAGTAACTGTTATGTGCAGCTCGCTGGAGTCAGGGAAGTCACAAAAAACCAAGGTGGAAAATGGTATAAATTAAGTCATGTTTAATTAACACGAATGTAAAAGGGTAAATTAACAAACATGCTAAAATATGTACATAAAATAACCTAAACTAAGAAACAAAATAACAGGATTAACATGTGAGTCATGTAGTGCCAAAAACGAGTCACGTAGGCTTATACAAAAATGAGTGACTAAACTTGTGACTTGTTTTATACATTGTACAGTTACATAATTGTAGCCTGTATTTATTTTTAATTTGAAAGTAAAAAAAAAAAAGATCAATAATAAAGTGTTTTTCTTTTTAGAGAGAAGTGCGGAATAAATGCATCATTTTACTAAAAAAATAATTGTGATTTCAATAATGATCGAGCTGCCCTAACAATGAAGCAATAATTTTCAAGTTAACAGCTCCTTTTATGTTACAGGGGAGCTGCGGGGTCTTAAAAGTCTTAAAAAGGTCTTAAATTTCATGTTCCTAAATTAAGGCCTTAAAAAGTCTTAAATTCTGTTGTCCAAGTGTTTTTTTTTTTCACAAAGGTCTTAAATTTCATTAGTATTAGTATATTACTACTTTTTTGTTTACTCAACCAGGCTGCAGTGCAAAGTTAAACGGAGGGAGGAAAAAAAAAACAACGTGAAATAACGTAACGTGAATGAATGTTTAATTTGGAGTATGTGCAAACAATACTTTGGTTTCTGGCGCTGGCGGAAATGAGTAAAATCGGTAGAGTGGAGGAAGACGCTGGATGGATCATGGTGATGTGTAGGTTTAATCCACAGTGGGTCTTAGATTCTAGATACAGTATTTGGTTGGTCATTATTCGAATTGGATCTGGTGTTTTTCACTGCATAGTAGGTGCAATGTTGGTCTTAATTTTCATTTAAGTGTCTTAAAAAGGTCTTTAAAAAGTCTTAAATGTGGGGTAGTCAAACCTGGGGATACTCTGTGTTAAATTCAGTAGAGATTGACAATTCCAGAGCTGAAATGATCCAAATGATTCTAATGAAGCTGTTTGGAGTTTAAAAACACAGTGATGCACTTCTTGTATTATCACATGACATCACAAGGTGGAACAGAGTGTTTGTGAGTTAAACATGGTTGAATGAAACAAAACACAAATCCAGGTCTGTTTGTGATGAAGAAACTACATTATACCTTACTCTAAATCAGAAAATGATGTAATATGGGCCCTTTAATGCAGGTCACGAGTCACGTAGGCTTATACAAAAATTTGTGACTAAACTAAGGGACTCACAACAAAACAAAATCACAAATGTCCCAAAGTAAAATCACATAAACCTACAAACAGGATTGACTAATTAAGTAATTAACTAGTTTAATTAGTTTAGCGTAAAAATTTGTAACTGATCCATAATTCCAAGTTGTTGCCCATTCGTACAGTTCACCACATTGAATAGATAGACTTCGTATTCTCTGTAGGTTTCAGATTAATAAAAAAAAAGAGCTCAGTTGACATAGTAATTAACAATTGATAATGAAAGTAGTAGGTGTGTAACGATATCCAAGTCTCGCATCACAATATCGTCACCGTATGAACCTCACTGTACGATATTTATTGCGATATCATGGGAAAGTTCACGATATGGAGGTGAGGCTCACGATTAGAGATGTAACAATATCCAAATCTCTCTGTATGATATTTTCATGATATACATCTCACTGTACGATATTTATTGCGATATTTTGTGGAAGCTGAACTGAAAATGCTACTTTTTCTTCTTAAAATGCCTCGACAAAACCCAAAGAACAAAGACTTAATTAAAAATGCTTGTCTACACTGAATTGGAGCAAAGGATCATGGTCTATGTAGTTCCCTCTGTGTTTTTTTTTTTTATTTATTGCTGCACCATAACTTTTCATTTTAGCAAATAAACTTGTAATTCGATATATTGTGATGGTCCATGATATTATTGTGAGAACTTTGACGATACGATAGCACGATATTTTGGTTATTGTTACATCCCTAGAAATTTGTCTATATTTTGAATATATACTGAAGTGCTCAAAATGGCACTTATAAACTCACACAGTTCACCACATTAAATAGATAATATAAAAGCTATTAATGGGTTTCAGAGTAATTAAAAATGTGCACTGTTGCCATAGCAATTAACAATTCAAAACAACATTTTCGATCTTTTGAATGATGGAAAGTGCTCAAAATGGCGCCTATAAACTCATACAATTCACCCAAAGATAATATAAAAGCATATCTATAGATTTGAAGGCGATTAAACATGTGCAGTGTTGCCATAGAAATTAACAATTCAAAATAAAGTAGTCAAGCTTTTGAATGATGAAAAGTGAAAATGGCGCCTAAAACAGGTCTCACTGAAACTATAAAACTACTGAATTAAATGTGAATATTTCTGAAAGTGACAGTGCGAGAGAGAGCGTCAGCATCTGGAACGAGGAGGAGGAGTTTCCGCTTGTTTCTGCTGCTCCTTTTTCAGCTCAAATCTACTACTGCATCATTATGTATGTACATATGTTTGTAGTATTGGGAGGTAACTGAATATATGTACTGACAATACACATTCTGAATATTTATTTTAGTTTAGTTTAGTCTTTATTTGAATGCACAATGTACAGCAACATTATGCTCATAAAAACAGATGTTCCACACCAGATTAGAGCTGAGCAGCTAGTTTCCATCTGCAGGCCCAGATTTACAGAAATAAATTATACAATGCAATTATAGTCAACAATAAGAACAATACACTCAGACATGCACACAAATCACACTCACACCATATCACACACTAACAGAGCAAAACATTAGATATTTACAACGTCACAAATTCCATCTTATAAAATACATATTATCCTACTATTTCTAATCATCTATATATACACACCTATATCATCCAAAAATATTGTAACTATTTTCAGGTATAGTTGATTTTTTATTTGGTGATATTCAGAATATAGTTACTTTTCTAAAATCTTAGGAATACATTACATTATTTGCTCAAACTGCACACAATGAATGAGAAAAACCGAAACTTAAGCAGCTCTTGTGGTGAGGCATGTGTGATTTTTGCATCAGAAATTTGTGACAGGAAATGCTTTAAAAATAGTGAAACAAATACAACTGTTTCTTTGTCGCGTTTCTAGACAATAATTGAAACGCAACTCGATGTAAAATATTCCAAGTGTTCAGAATCCAGTACTCTGATTGGACCACGTATCAGAATATATTTCAGAATACATTTTAAAGGCCGTGTATTACGCACAATTGACTCTTGTTCTAATGTTGTTGTCTCATCAAAAACACACTTGGAGTTGTGTTTTGTTTCATTCACACATGCTTGAGTAATCCTGCATTATTAGTCTGTCTACATCTCCAAAGCTCAAAATGTCACCCAAGCAATTTGTTTGTTTGAACTGGAATTTTGTAGTATTGCACTAAAGCTTAACGAAGTTTATTTTGGGATATTCCTTATATAAATAAGGATATTGTTCTAATATTTGAATATAGAGATTGTAGAACAGCTGGATATATAGTTTATTTTTATATAGTTAATGTTGATGTTCAAAGTATATTTTATTCATTTTATGTTTTATACATCATACAGGTACATATTTGTAGCCTATATTTATTTTCATTTTGAAAGTTTTAAAAAATGATCAATAACAAAGTGTTTTTCTTTTGAGAGAGAAATGCGAAATAAATGCATCATGTTCCTAAAAAAATATTGTTCTAATAATTGTGATTTCAATATTGACCAAAATAATTGTGATTTTTTTTTTTTCCATAATCAAGCAGCTCTAATCATGAAGCAATAGTTTTCAAGTTTACAGCTCCTTTTATATTAAATTCAGTAAAGATTGACAATTCCAAGGCTGAAATTATTCAAATGATTCTAGTGAAGGAGTTTGGAGTTTAAAAACGCAGTGGAGCGCTTCTTGTATAACCACAATATCACAAAGAGGAACAGAGTTTTCTGTTTGAGAGAAGAACTCGGCCTAAATGTGCAGGTTTGTGTGTTAAACATGTGAATGAAACAAAACACAACTGCAGGTCTGTTTGTGATGAGGAAACAACATTAGAACATATGGCATCAGAAAATTGTGCAATTGCAAATGCACATATTTAGTATTGTGTAACTATATAAATTTGCATTTTTTCATTTCATTATTACATTATATCATTCTATATCATTATCATACATTATATCAAAATTGCTGGATTTCAGGTGACATCACAACATTCTATAGGCCAATATTATTTAATACAAATGGGGTCTTGGGTCTAGTCAGTAATAGAAATAATGAGGTTCAACATTTGGGAATTTACCTTTTGGATATTTCATGTTAAAGTACAGTGTAATTAGGAGGTGGGATAAGACACAGTTTCCACAAAACAAGATGAGATATGAGATTGAGTCCAGGAGAATGAGACAAGGCGAGATTTTAACATAATTCCTAATATATAAATTTTGCGATTCAGTTTCAAATTATGGCCATTTATTTTTTTAGTTAAATTTTTTTGTTTCCTTTCTAGCTGTTTTTTGGAACTGTAAGAGATGTAACTCAACTAATATGTAACCCCTTTTTGTCCAATCCAAATGTAAACATTGACTAAAAACTCTCACGAGATAATTTTTTTCATGTGTGCACCATCTTAAAGCAGTTTTGTCTCTTAAGATCTTGCGGCCCGAGATCTTGTCCCATCCCTAAATGTTATCGATCGGGAAAACTGTCCCTTGCCCCCCATCTGGGAGTATGACCTTATCACATTGTAGAATCTGAAAACCCCAAATTGAAGTGAGCTGATGTTGTTTGTTTGTTGTTATTGTCCAGGTGAAGCTTTACCGTCACATCCGCTCGGACCACCTGCTCCAGATCTGCTCCAGAGTGTGTCCTCTTCTGGAGAAGGAGGTACCAGCCAGTGTCCCGGGGCTCTGCAGTCTGCTCGGGGCCGGGAGACAGAACCTACTGCGCACAGACAAGAGTGAGTGACCATTGTATAAGACTGTGTGTGTGTGTGAGAGCCGTGCAGTGAATCGAGATTGAGACTTGAGAATCATTTCTAATTGTCAATAATGAGCGAGGGTTTTTTGAAAGGAGAGGTTCACAGCAGGAGACTTCATATAGATGGTACGGATGTAACGATATTTAAATCACATGGTACGAAACAATTACAATTCTGATTTCACAACACAATATTTATTGCGATATTGTGATGCCAACAGATTTGAAGAAAACTACTTTTTCCCTTTAAAAAACCTTTGACTTGGGGCTGTATTAATGCCTTATAGTCCAAAAAATTACTGTGTTTTGTGGACTATAATTCTTGAATTTTCTCAAAAATCACCTTATAATCCGGTGCACCTTATGTATTAATTCTGGTTGTGCTTACTGACCTCAAACTGATTTAATGTGGTACACGGCATTCCAAAAATCTGTCAAAATGTTTAGTACGACTTTGGTAACCTACAAAGCCGCACTGCTTGATGGATAGTCGGGGCATTACAGCTGCTGTAGTCAGGAGCCTCCCGGAGTAAAAGGCAAAGTATAGTTCTGCGTCGACTCAATGAACACAGCCGCCATGCTGTCGTTTTTGATTTATGGATCTATGTCGAGGTCTGTGCGCCGCGAAATAATTCATCGCCACAACGCAGGAGGCGAGGATTTAAACCTGGGGTTCTTGTATACCAGGGGTCGGCAACCTTAAATACTCAAAGAGCCATTTGGACTGACTAACCCTAACCCCCTTTTGACATCTAAAATGAGGATAACACTGCTTATATTTTTTTTTACCTGTCTGCTCTGTATAAAAGACGAGTGTGTTGCATTCATAAAATCAATGAAATACTACGGATAATATCTGTCCAGTCATATATACACTCTGTGTGTATGACCGGCAGACGTATAATCTCTGAAAAGTTTCACATGAACCATCTCAAAGATAGAAAAGCTCTTTATAACACTTATTTCTTCATGTTTTCTACATTGAAATGGAATTAAAAGATCACAGTCTGTGTAGTGTAGTAGTTTCCTCCATTTTTTTTAGCTGTTACTGCAAGAATACAATGCATTTTAAGCAAGGAGCTCATAATTTGATATATTGTGACAGCACATGATATTATTGTGAGAACTTTGATGGTACAATATCACGATATTGTCACATCCCGTAAATGGATGTATACACACACGCACACACACCCACACGCACTACGGAAACAACAACATGATCCTCTTCCTTGAAACAAAACAAAGTCATAAACAAGACTTTTGTTACTTCACTTTTTTATTTTTAGTTGTGTGGGGGATTTTTCTGTCTGTCACTATGCACCAAGTAAATACTGCGATACATAGATTTACATGCAGTGCTGTTTTACTGTACCATTATCTGACTTTGCAGCCGATGTCAATAACACTCTCCGGGGGGTGATGCTATCTGTAGGCTCTGCTCTGTCTCAAGCTCTTTTATTCAAGCTAGACTTTAATCTGAGTTTTGTTTCAACACAATGTGACCAAAAAGAGCTGACTTAACCAGAACTACAACAGGTGAAGATTTGTGCTGTTAAATCTCTCACACATACACAATTTTCAGTTCGTCACTCTCACCTTTTTGTTGAAAATCAAACTCCCGTATCGATCATAAGCTCCTGAAAATGTGCTTTTTCTTGAGTTTTCCGACAATCTTCAAACTTTTTTGGCAGTCTTTACTACCGTGTGCAGTGTTTGTGTGGTAACTGCTGAACATAGGCATACAGGCAGAACACCCCCAGTACGGTGTCACCACAAAGTCTCAAGAGTTTGTGTAGATAAATTATGTTAAAATTAAAATGTGACGTTTTCCAGGTTGCAAGCATGTGGTGTGGAAGGGCTCGGCTCTGGCTGCGCTTCACTGTGGGAGACCCCCAGAGCCCCCCATTATCTTTGGGAGCCCCCCTAATATCGGTAAGATACTATATACTTTACACTTTACACACATTTATACTGTAGATAATGTTTTAAATCTACATGTTGAGATCTGTTCCTCCATGTAAGTCTTGCTTTCACCTCTGCCATATTAAACACAATGAAGTACAATAGTTATTAATAGTTTCTTTTTTTACTTTGTGGGGATTCTGAAATGAATATCTGGTTTGTTTTTGCACCTTTTGTGGCAGTGGGTGAACTTTCCTCAGCTTGTTATATTATTAGCACAAAACAAGTTCATGTCAAACTGTATTATGTGTTATGTGCTAATTAAAAATGTTCTATATATAATTTTTCTCATGTTAAGATGACGCCTGTAATGCCCCACAGTATGGCATTAAATAGATCTTAAATATTTTTTTCATTCACAGCATTAAAACCACAGTAAACATGTATTATTACAGTGTCACATATTTGACGTTTTACTTGGCTCAACTCAAAACGCTCTAATTTGGTGTTTAAGGTGCAGTTGTTTTTCAGGGGTTGCTATGACTACCATATTGCTGTATTGTCTCTATTGTAATTGTGGGTTTTTTATGCGTTTTAACTTGTTGTTGTGAAGATCGTGGTGACTTCCTTGTCTGTGAGAGGTGTTATATAAATAAATTATACTTGCTTGCTGTTAGTGCTATCTGCTTTTCTCCATGTAGATAACTTAAGTACCATTTTGTGCAAAATTACACCTCAATGGAGACATAAAAATAATGCATTTAATTTGTAAGCGCCTTTCACAACACCAAGGACACCGTACAGTTTTTGAGTTGGAAAAAAAAGTAAAAACAGGCGAATAAAACATAAAACATATACAATACAAACCTGAAGGACTGTATGGAGAGACAAGTGTAGACTACCTTCCACCAGAAAAGCTCCTCACTGCACCTTTAAGCAGAAACTCCCCTCACACCTGTCTTTATCTTTACGCGTCCCCTCTCCGTCTCTGTCCTGTGTCCAGTGGAGACGAGCCACAGCAGACGTCTGAACGGATCTTACCGCCTGAAGCAGCTGGTGCCCACAGCGGTGTACCAGCACATGAAGATGCACAAGAGGATTCTGGGACACCTGTCATCAGTCTACTGTGTGACGTTTGACAGGACCGGCAGGCGCGTCTTCACGGTAAAGTCCCGCTCATCTGTAATCTGCATGCTCTGGTACAGCAGGAGGAGGGGCTTCGTTTTAAGGGGAGAGTTGTAGTTCAGAAAAGAGTTGTGTTCTAATCTGGAGCGTGGTGGTTAAAGGTGGACTATATAACAGTAATTTACAGTATTTGTTTGGACTATAAACCGCACAGGAGTATAAGGCACAATATCAATTAAAACCGCAAGCGATGTCAAATGGCCCTCGCCCAATGCACGCCGCGCCCACAAATGTCGCACCTGCAAATGAAAAAATGACATAGTGCACTTTTAAATGTTCTTTGCTCCCCCTGCTGGCCAACCATGAAAAATACTCAAGTCAGTAATAAATGTTTTTGCTTCTAGTCAGTACAAATCCAATAATGTTGGAGTTGCGTTCCAGGTGGCGCAGTGTCACCATTTTTTAATGCCCATGCATGAAACCTATATTTTATCAAATTTTTCGCTACTTCTGAATATTCGGCGAAGTTTGGTGAGTTTTTGAACGTGTTTAGGGGGTCAAATTAGAGCTCGTTGTTGCCCATTCACTCTTCGTAGCGAAAGCAATAGGCCCTACGCCCTGTTGGGGCTCGGGCCTAATAATGTTGAATTGTCTTGTCTGTTTTCATACATAAGGCGCATTAAGTGAAACAAAACAGTCAGATAATTCAAACTTTATTCAACTCATTCACAATAACTCAGCCCAGGCTAGAGTGTGGATCGGGCCGAGTTTTTCTGTCCGAGCCCGGCCCGCGTCCGACAGAACAGCGATCGAATCCGACCTGAGACCGACAGACAGACATTGTTTGTGTGACCTCTAACGGACACAGAAGCGCAAAATACAAACTCAGGATGTAGCGAAAATAGTGAGAAGACTTTATTATTCACCTCTCGTAAAGTGGTAAATTTAAACTGCAGCATCTCATCCACATTATCCATAGAATTTGTCCTCTGCAAATAATGACCCCAGTCCACAAAACGGCACTGTGAATCCAGTTTGAGGTGTTCTTCAAAAGTAAAAAGGCGAAAATAGTTCCACGTGTGTCTGTTTACATCCACACAGAGCACGGATCGAGGTGAAGCTGCAGATTAGTGACAGTGACTCTACTTCCTGTGGATTTTATCTCCAATCTTTTATGCTTTAAAAATCCTATATCTGAAGTTTTGCACCACATTTCACAAATAATAATCACACAGTTTTGACTTTTTGACTTGAATAGAAGTGCAGAGCTCTGATCTTTTGAACACTTCAGAATCTCAAAGCGAGTGGTTTTACTGTAGACAGGAAACAGCTGACGCCATCATGTGCCCGAGTCCGACCCGAGCCTGAACATACTGTAATAATAATGCATTGTGTGTGTATTAAGGGTGGGATGAGACAGAATTTTGAAATAATTTGCAATAATGGGTCACATGAATTTTATTTGGTTCTTTTTTATATATTGTGTTGTAAATACATTTTATGTGTTTATATAGTTCATTTACTTCATTTTTATTATTTAAATCGCTCCATCTCCTCCCTCCTTTCCCTGCCCTAACATGTACGGTGCAGAGGGACACAGACAGAGGAGGAGCACTTCTCTCTCCTTTCTCATTTTAAACTAAATTGTGGATGAAGAGGGCCTAAATATGTCTTCCTGGATCTTCTTCAAATAATGTTTATGTGTGAAAAATGCTGCATGTGTTTTTCACGCACAGTCCCATATTTGATCACATGATTTCGTGATGTCTTCTAACTAATTTTAGCACTGATTATCTGCATTAATATTGGTCTTTTAGCTACAGCTGCTTAAAGACATGCAACTTTCCAGAGCTTGAGCGAGACTAAGATGATACAGTCTCGCGCGTGAGAGTTTTTCCATGTGCCCACGGACTCATGGCAGTTTGATCTTGCACAAGTTCTCCTCACATCCGTAGTTTGTATGAGGCCTATCAAGACATCAACATCGCTTTCGTTATTGATAGTTTGCAGTGACACAGCGCTGGGGGTGTTCTACATGTATCTCTATTTGCAGAATGTTCAACAGCTACCATAGATATAGCTGAAAATGTTTTAATATAACCTGAAAATAGATTTGAACAGCATTTTCAGGAGGCTATGTACAAACAAGCGTTCACGGTCCTGTTTGTTTGATTTTTGACAAAAGGGCTAACTAAAACTAAATGAAAAACTGTAAAGAACAGCTCGTCTGTAATCTCCAAGCTCTGATACAGCAGGAGAAGTGTTTTGTAGAGCTTCACAGTATTGGAAAAAAGTATTGCAATTGAGAATAAATTTGAAACATGTGTTTAAAAAGTAGAATTATGTTCGGATTGCATATCGTTATCAACTCCAGGAGCATTAAAGGTCACTTATTGCGCAAAATTTAGTCACGGTGGAATGTCGTTCCCTCCTAAAACATATCTAGAGTTCTGTTTTGTTTCATTCACACATGCTTGAGTAACTTTTTATTATTAGTCTGGGTACATCTCCAAAGCTCAAAAGGCTCCGTTCCACCTTGTGATGTCATGACACTGTAGTTTTCAAGTTAACGGCTCCTTTCACCTTTAGTTGAAGTTGTTTAGGCTGAAATGATCCAAATGATTCTAGTGAAGTTGTGTGGAGTTTAAAACACAGTGAAGCACAAATTTGAGAGAAGAATTCAGCCTAAATTTAGAGGGTTTGTGTGTTAAACATGTGTGAATGAAACAAAACACAACTGCAGGTGTGTTTGTGCTGAGGAAATGACATTAGAACAGATCAGAACACAGTGTATTAATATGGGCTGTTAAACATTTGAGAGACTGAAACATGAACTGCAAAACTACAAGAACAAGAACAAGAAATACAGGCATTTGAGAACACTTTTGTAGAGGTGATATGGATTTTTTTTTTGCTGTTACCGATACCTGACATTTGGCGTACTGCTGTGGTCGATATCCAACATGTGCAGATACTGATATTTCACTTTTAGAATCCACAGTAAGACAAATCTGATGCACTGAGGACAAACTGGGGATGGATGACACATCGGGGGCAGATGTCGATACCGGCTGATACCGCTATAGACAAACAACAAATGATATCGGCCAAAACAGATACTGATGTCCGATATATTGATATAGCTGTCTGTTATTTGTGAATGTTATTGTATCCTCTAGAACAGGGGTGGGCAAACTCCTATCGATTTAATCCGGCCCGCCAAACTTGAATAATAATAATAATAATCATCTTCAGTCATTTCAATAAACAGTAAATACCTTGGGATTTGAAAGACAGATATTTTGTTGTGATGCTTCGTAATGATTTAACAAGAACATGGGATATGTTTTCTACATATTATTTTCTATATTTTTTTCTCTTATGAGGTGGATTACCAAAAAACTCCACCCATCTGCTCCTGGTCCGGCCCTTCTGTCAAATTTTAGAACCCTTTGTGGCCCCCAAGTCCAAAAGTTTGCCCACCCCTGCTCAAGAATGTACAGTGCCTATAGTCAATGTGTGTTTACCTCTTCACTGGCCTCTTAAAAGGTGCACTGCGTAACATTTCTCGTGGAGGGTGCACCACTCTGCCACTCGCTTGTGTCTGTGAAAATGTTTTTGCTTTGTATAGAATGTTCCACAGTATAGATTAAACCTGTCTGTCACAGCAGACATGCAGGTTACAGCACTACGCTACATTACAGGTGAGATCTGTGGAGAGGCGCCCCTATTCACAAGAGTAAATATTGTATTTTTGAGCAATAGAAACTAGGGCCCGACTGATATGGATTTTGCGGCTGGTATGATACCGATAAAATGGGAGCTGGACCTGCCGATAGTCGATATAAAAGCTGATATATTTAGTGAAATTCACTGTAAATCTTCGGTTGATTATAAAACTTAGGTCTGGCTCTACTGGATTTTAAATGGGGTTTATTTAGGCGACATTTATTGTTATTCTGCCACTTTACGTCATATTTAAAGACAGGAGGTCGACCTAATGGTATTTTTGCATCAGATTCTAGCCTGTAAACAAAGTAAACTAAGTAAACTACTGCTATCAGCCTTTAGCAGTAAATGCTTGTGTGCTCTGGTAATTATTTATATGTGTAAATTTGGATCATTCACACTTCTATTCACAGCTCATTTACATATCAGTGCAGGTCCAGTAATTTATACAGACGCTGTAGTCACTTTACACTAGAACAATGGAAGAAAACAGACTGTTTATGTGGGAGCTACAGCAGCTAAGAGCTAAACAATGAGAAAGAACCAGAAGTATCTTAAAAACCAACACATTTGTAACAGTCACCTCTCACGCAGGCTCCTCTCAGATCAGAAGTCTGCACTAACAAGTGTCCTTTTAATTCTGACTCAAAACGAACGTCCGTAAAAAGAATATAATCCAGCATGTTGACATCAGCTGTGTGTGTGTCCCGTCTGTGGGACAGTCCTCCGTCTGCGGGACAGTCCTCCGTCTGCGGGACAGTCCTCCGTCTGTGGGACTCGCACTTTGATAAAAACAGCAGTAGTTTGTTTCTGGTCTAAACTGAGCTGAAGTTCACTTTTATTTCTCTTCAGTGTCATGGATCAGACACAAGAGAGTTTAAAGCAGAGCCTCAGTGTTGTTTACGTGGATCTATGGCTGTGCACGTGTGTAAACAAAAACAAATCAAAACTCAAATCAAATTTAAACCGATAGCCAATATGTCTCCAAGTGTCCATATCGGGTCCTAATAGAAACACCTGTAATGAATAAATGCTAGATGGAAATGTTGAATGTCATACCATGGAACATTCCAGGGAACGTAGTAACATCTCCATGGAGACAAGCAGGTGACGGACCTTCCACCACAAAATTTGCGTAGTGCAGCTTTAAAGACAACAGTATTTTCTCTAGATTCATTGAATATTGACTGAGCAGTCCCATCAGGCCACTTTACCGCTTTAGTGTAATTCATCTATTGTCAGTATTATTATCTCTGGCATTTCTTTCTTTTGAAATGTCACTCATGTTTACACACACACGTTTACTCTCT